GCTACATTTGGCCCTCGGGGTGTAGATTACACTCTTGGTGTAGACTACGAAGCTTTGTCATGAAAATACTGCCGTCTCCCATTACGAATCCTTAAAGGTATGTATTTTTTTTTATTTATTATTTTATTTTATTTCTTATTCATTCACCTCCTTATTTGAGACAATTGCTTGCTTATATACAAGGCGTTTTTGTTCTTTGCAATGATTACAGTTCCTTTTATTTCTGTATTATTATGCAGTAAAGACTGTCTTGTTTATTTCATTTAGATGCCAGTAGAAGAGCCTACTGCGGGAATATATTCTGTATTGGGTAATTAACTTACAATTACGCAAAAATATTTTATTTCAAAATATCGATATGTTCAAAATTCTTCCGCTTATATACTGGAGGAGACAGAGAGAGTGAGGGAGAGAGGAAAAGATAAATCTCAGAAAATGCATTTCTAAGGGAAAAAGAAGGGAGAGACTTCAAATGTAGTCTAGAAAGGAGCTCCATAGGAGTTTGGAGGGGCAGCTGGGCACCGTAGCCGTTGCTTGGAGCAGGGGGAGCACCGTATCCGTTGCCGTTGCTGCTCCATTTCCGTTCTTTCCGTTTCCGTTGGAACCGTATCCATTGCTTCCGTTCCTACCGTTTTCCATTCCTTCCGTTGCCGTGGAGCCATAACCGTTACCGTTACCGTTGGTGGCGGGTCCATAGGCGTATCCGGCGTCGGGAACGACTCCGATGAGCTCGTTGACGGAGTAGAAGCTCTCAGCTTGAGAACAGTCCACGTTGAACCACCAGTCACATACCAGGTACTGCTGGTTGAAGATGGTACCGTTGGGGCACAGGAAGGAGTCCTGTTGGCGCCTGAGGGCGGGTCCTGGCAGATATGGAACACCTGCAGCCGGCTTCAGCTGCAGTGTCGGCGTAATAACCTTGCACCGCCTGGCATCGCAGGAGAAGCCGGTGTCGGGCACGGAAGCCAAGATGGGGTAGTCCTCGCCGGGGACGCCGCCCCCGGGAATGTTCTCGGCTAAAGCGGCGATCTCAGGGTCTACACCATAGGCGCCGTTGGGCGTGCCATAGGTGTTGCTTGGGGGCGCATAGCCGTTGCGAGGGGCAGAGGCTCCGAAGCCGTTTCCGTTTCCATTGAATCCGTTGTGGGTGCTGAATACCCGTTACCATTACCATTTCCGTTACCGTTTCCGTTGAATCCGTTGTGGGTGCCCCATACCCGTTGCTGGGAGGCGGAGGTGCTCCGTAACCGTTACCATTTCGTTGAATCCGTTGCGGGCTGTCGGCCACAACGACGCCAAGGATTGCTGTGGAGGTTTTTTGTTAATATTTTTAGACACAAACCACATTGACACATTATAAAGAGAATATAATCAAGATCTCTCACATTTCTCATTTCCATAGTGAACAGTGAAATAATCTTTATATATATGTAATATACACTAATGTACACACACGCACGAGCACGCAACACACACACATACATGAGTGCATATATATATTATATAATATATATATATATATATATTATAATTATATATATATATATATATATATATATATATATTATGATATGTGTGTATACATCTATATCTATACATATACAGGCTATACATATGTACATATACCACATTATATAAGTATGTGTGTATGTGAGTACATATGTATATATACACGCGTTTATATATGTATATATATGTTTTTGTGTGTGCATATTTGTAGTTTGTACTGCATGCATGTGTCGCTGTGAGCGTATGCATAGATTGAATTGCTTTACTCAGAACCCACCAAAGAAGATAAGGACTTCATGGTGAGGCCTTCGAAGCGGGAGAGGAGGGAGAGTGACGATAAACCGACTGGCGGCGACTTTATACTCGAAGGCGCGTTCAGACTCCGCCCACCGACCTTCGTTCTGACTTGGTTTAGCTGTCGGTGTGAAAAACGAGGTCGTTGTTTAAGGAAATCGCGTGATATTGAGCAGTGACGTGAGCGACAGTTAGAGAAGCAATGTGATTTTTGTTTCTTAAGATGCACCATATTCCTGTCTTCACTGTTTAGCATATATAGTTTGTCTTACTTTTCACATTGTTATACTTATGATTTGGTTATCTGTGTAATTCACTCGAAATTGATAAATGATACTGATTTTGATAAGCATGGCAATATTTAAAATGATAATGATTAAGATAAAGGTAATAATTAACTGAATAAGAACAAGAATAATATGATAACGATGATGATGATATGATAAAGATAGTAATAATTATAGTGATAGTGATGATATCAGTAATAAAAGTAATAATGATAACGGTAAAAAGTGACTATTACAGTTGGTACTACTATTGATATCATTATTATTATAATCATAATAGAAATGATAATAATAAAATTGATGATAGTGACAATGGTAATGATAATGACAACAATGATAATGATGATGATGAATAATAATAATAAATAATAATAATTACAATCATCATAATATAGCAAGAGTAATAAAGATGATAATGCTGGTTATAATAACAACAATGATAATGATGGTAATAACAACAATGATAATGGTGTTAATAATGATAACGATGGTAATAATATTAATTGTTATAGTATTTATGATGATATAATGATAATAGTAATTGTTATAATTGTTATTATTATCATTATTATTAAGCAATAGTTATGATAATAAGGATATGATAATGATAAAACAGCAGCAACAAAAACAAAATAATGACATTAATAACGATAATAAGAATGATAATGCTCATAATAATGATAATGATAATAATCATAGTTGTAGAAAAAAAATAATAATGATAACACTAATCACTATTATCATTATCGTTATTTGAGAACTGTATTAGTTGAGTTTCCTGTCTCTGTATTCCTAGAGTGGATAGTAAACCCTGTGATATGACGGAACCGTGAATGCATGAAAAAGCAATTTCGTTCGTCACAAACAAGTACTAACTATGCGAAAGACAGAATGCTACGAAGGCGAGCAATCTGAGGTTCAAGGAATTAGGTTGAAGTCATTGACAAAGAAAGAGGGAAATGATTTTCTCTTTCTGCCTAATAGTCCATCTTTCTTCCTCTACATATCTAGTTCCATCCTATGTCTCTTGCCTGTTTTTCTCTTTATTTATCTATCTTTCTCTCTCTCCTCTCTTTATCTATCTATCTGTCTTTCTTTCTGTGTATGTGTCTGTATGTCACCTTTCTCTCTTTTAGAGGTCCTTAGTTAAACATAGATTTACGCTTTACACATCCTAAATTCACAAAAAGTACAACTAGTCCATGACACCGGAATACTAACTGGCAAGGCTGAGATTGAACCAAGGTCACGCGCTCACCTGAACTTGTTGGGGATGAAAACGAATGCGTTAGTGATGCCCTCCCCTGATGCCATCCATGCATGTAGAGGATGGCTGTTTTTGGGGTCAATATGTAGATTTTCTTTTTAAAGATAATATGTCCATATTGTTAGTATTTATGTGACACGACCAGAAATATAATTTTACCAATTAACATCAAGCAAAGTGGTTTACCAGAAGGGTTATATCTAATTGTATGTGCGAACACAAACCATTTTTACAACAAGAATACACTATCTTAAATGTTAAGAAACATTATATGATGTGGGTTCATCATCGACCAATACATGTGCTGAAATTCCATTGAGAAGAAATTTATTTAGAATCTGAAAAAAAATAGGAGTGACGACAAGAAGTATGGTTGTTCTAAAAAAATATTTTCTTACTGGAAGACTTTTTATTGATTTTGGCATAATTGGAAAATGGGCTTTTCTTTTCTATATGAAGCACTTTTCATTGTATTTGTTATCATTCTAAATATAGCATAAAAATCTGATGCATGCATTGCTTCTATTTTACAGTTTTTTATTTTTATTTATTATTATTTTATTATTATTATTATTATTATCATTATTATTATTATTATTCTCTTGCATCATTTTAGAAATATTGAGGGAAACACATTTCTAATGAACAAATTTTATTTTTGTTCTGCTACACCCATCTACCGTTTTATATATATATATATATATATATATATATATATATATATATATATTATATATTGGGGGGAGGGTTCATTTCTATGAATGTGCTACAACTTATCATAAAAGGCTTAGATTGACGATAGACTAATAAAAGTGTTTCTTCTTCCTCACAGATGTGACTACTTATGATGTGAGGGTTTCAGTCTGAGAATCTTAAAACGAGAATGTAGTTTTGTTATGTATAAGGCCAACTTAACGTTAATATCAGTCAATCTAGTCATTACAGTTACCCCTTCTCTGTTGTTATTGGAATTTCCCATTAGATATGCATTGAACAAATACTTGGATTAATGCTGTTGTCTAGAATATCAGTTCAAGATCACATTCAAACTCTATTACGGGTTTGTACAAACAAGCGAAAATAATTCTTGTTTTATTTCAAAATATAGATATTTACACATTCTTGTCAACTGAGTAATGTAGGAAACACCTCGACAGATGCAAAGCGAGAGAGATGAACAATAGATTCTAAGAGTATATATTAAGTCTCCAAGAAGTGACAAGGAGTGACTGTAAGTCGAGTTTAGAAAGGAGCTGCATAGGAGTTGGAAGGGGCAGTGGGGCACCGTAGCCGTTGCTTGGAGCAGGGGGATCACCGTATCCGTTGCCGTTGCTGCCTCCGTTTCCGTTCTTTCCGTTTCCGTTGGAACCGTATCCATTGCTTCCGTTCCTACCGTTTCCATTCCTTCCGTTGCCGTTGGAGCCATAACCGTTACCGTTACCGTTGGTGGCGGGTCCATAGGCGTATCCGGCGTCGGGAACGACTCCGATGAGCTCGTTGACGGAGTAGAAGCTCTCAGCTTGAGAACAGTCCACGTTGAACCACCAGTCACATACCAGGTACTGCTGGTTGAAGATGGTACCGTTGGGGCACAGGAAGGAGTCCTGTTGGCGCCTGAGGGCGCGGTCCTGGCAATATGGAACACCTGGCAGCCGGCTTCAGCTGCAGTGTCGGCGTAATAACCTTGCACCGCCTGGGCATCGCAGGAGAATCCGGTGTCGGGCACGGAAGCCAAGATGGGGTAGTCCTCGCCGGGGACGCCGCCCCCTGGAATGTTCTCGGCCAAAGCGGCGATCTCAGGGTCTACTCCGTAGGCGCCGTTGGGCGTGCCATAGGTGTTGCTTGGTGGCGCATAGCCGTTGGTGGGCGGAGGAGGTGCTCCGTAACCGTTACCGTTGCCATTACCGTTTCCATTTCCGTTGAATCCGTTGTGGGTTGCCCCATATCCGTTGCTGGGAGGGGAGGTGCTCCGTAACCGTTACCGTTGCCATTACCGTTTCCATTTCCGTTGAATCCGTTTGTGGGTGCCCCATATCCGTTGCTGGGAGGGGGAGGTGCTCCGTAACCGTTACCATTTCCGTTGAATCCGTTGCGTCTGTCGGCCGCAACGACGCCAAGGATTGCTGTGGAATGCATTCTTAAATGTTCAGATATGAAGTAACAGTAGAGGAAATATAAAACAGTGAGCATGTAATATTTTAAAACCTTTGAGGCCATCTCAGTACAATATAAATATACAGCAATAATCTGTATATAAATGAATTATAAAAATGTGTTTATCTGCCTAGCTGTATGAATATTGAGTATGTTTAGTAAATAGATAAAGAAGTAGAATATGACTAAGACACCATTTAATTATCATAGATAAGACATTCTAAGTTGGTTATTTTCGTTAAGCATGTATTCGGTGGATAATGGAAAATCATTATTTACTAGTCATACACATTTACAAATGTACCCACTAGAGTCTGTGTGTGTGTATGTATCTAACTATTATATATATATATATATATATATATATTATATATATATATATATATATATATATATACATGAAAAAGTAGGACGAACCGAAAACGATGAGGGACTTCATTGCAAGACGCGGGGGAGGAGGAGGGAGAGTGACGATGAACCGACTGGCGGCCGACCTTTATACTCGAAGGCGCGGTTCAGACTCCGCCCACTGACCTTCCTTCTGACTTAGTTTGCCAAGATGGAAAACAGGTCACTGCTACAGGAAGCGCAATGTACTTCCAACAGCAGAACAGCGAGAAGTATATAAAATATCGGTAATGATTTTATCAAAATCCTTTTTTTTTTTTTTTTTTTTAGCAACACGAGGAAAATGAAGATGATGATGATAACGCGTATTATATAAGCCACTAGATGATATAAGAGCAGCTAGTAAACTTTTTATAATTCCAGTCTGTGGTTTCTTTGGGTCATCGTCGTCTTTGTTGGAAATTATTGCAATGATTCTCACTATTTTCATATTATTGTTATTATCATGTCTTTAAAATTATTTGCATTATTTCGTTTTCATTATTACTACCATTTTTTTTTTTTTTTTTGTTTTAAACTTTATCCTCATTGTAATGTGTTATTTTTTCGTTGTTATCTGTCGCTATTTTTTTCTCATTAATGTTTTCAGTTTTGCTATAGTTGCTAAGATTATTATTTCTCGTAATCTTTATACTACCATCTTGTTTATATTTCATCTCTGTTGAATTCAATGTATGTGAATCCATCTTATAAAAAAATGGCATTTAACCGACATTATTGCAGGAGATAATACGGCAGACGACAAACAAACATCGTTTCATCGACCATCGTTTTTTTCCGACATGACAGTGGATATAGAGCCTGAATTTTAGTTAACATTACACAAAAGGAGGATGTTCATCATGAAATACAATGATATATCCATGGTGAGGGGGGGGGAGGTCGATGTCTACATTTTCAGAGGAAAGTGACAAAATTTTGAGTACATAGGCATTTCAAACTAGGTTTCGGAAGCGGGATCTTTTCTTTTCTAGTCAGTAGATTAGTCACCTTCACGAAAAGTTCCTTGCGAATGCCATGTATTTTAGTTTATCTATATCTTTCAATTCAATCGTCTGTCTATCCTTATTTCTTATGGCGCCATTTCGCTTCAACGCTGGTACTTTCGTCTCCCCTCCGGGTTTGTTTCCTGGGGGCGCTGAAGTGACGAGGGACCTTCGTGGGGCGCTTAAGTTTCCGGATTTGCATGATGTTTACTTGGGACTGTCGCTCTGGCCGAGAACAATCACAGGGGAGGCGTATTCAATAACAATAGATAGCGTTTCATAACTGGTTAGTAATCATACCTTCTCGTTTCTGTAGAAGTATTGCTAAGTACCAGCCATTTGCAAGTCAGAATCACTGATATTTATGGAATCTCCAGAACGACCCGTCTGGATGCTTAAATTACCTCTTGGGCCCTTAGGAATGCCAAAGTCCCCTTGAAGCAGACCAACGCCCACGAGGGGACGCTGCCGATCCCGAAGAGAACCACTATTTCGAATCTCCTTTGAGGTCAATATTCCTGGAGATTTGAGCCAAAACTCGAGGTCTCCACGAATCGTGAGACGTCTCCTAGTGTCGGCGTTGCAAAATTCTTTCTTTTCTTTCATTCTTTATTTTTGTTTATTTAATTTTTATTGTTTTCTATTTTTATTTATTTATTTATTTATTTACTTTTTTGATGGATCTCTTCGAAGTCCATTTTTTCTGTTACACTGTTCTTTGTTTAGGTCGTATTTTCACGCTACCCAAACGCGGCATTTAGGGAACAGATTTACTTTCATGCTTAAATTGTATTTGCGTAATACTGGATTTTTTTCCTTTTTAATGTCTTTTAGGACATCAGTCTCCTTTGTATCAGTGAGAAAACTTTTTGAAAATTATGATAAAGTGTGTGTGTGTGTGTGAGCCAAAAGATACATGTGATGAATTTCTTCTAATGTAGTTTGAGACTGATCCTAAGAGGATGCCGCTGACATTCGAGCAAAAAGGTGAACTGAACAATGTCATCCTCATTTGCCAGTAAGAAAAACTCCTGAGAGAAAGATAATATGGAGGATTGTAAAGAAGTTTGGAGCAGTGTTAACAAAGGGAGGTCTGGCCAAACCAGGGGAGCCAGATTTCCAGAGAACACGGCGCCGTCCGCCTGTCTGCAGTTGAAAGTCCGAAAAAGTCTTGTCGACGACGTTCCCAAGAGCGAGTCGGATACGCACAGTCCATTTGTTGAAATTGTACCTGACACTTTTCAGGTGTCACATTCAAGTTCAGCAAAAATTTACTGCAGTTAACTGAAAAGGCTCCTCATGGGTTTTAAGTAGAAATGTGCAATTGGCTTAATGATAAGATGGAAGAAGACAATAATTAGATTAGACAATGTTTGGTTCGGTGATGAGGCTCACTTCCATTTTGATAGCCATGTAAATTCAAAGAACTTTGTTTTCTGGGGTTTGCATAAAGTAGAATTCCATCAGTTTCCCTTTTTGCTCGATTGTAAAACGCATCAAACTACATCAAAGGAAATTCTTCACATATATCTTTGATACCTGAAAAAAAAGAGAAAAAAAAATTCAGATTGGAGCCAAATGATTTTGTGACTTTTTTTGGGGAGGAAACCCTATATATGTATATATATATATATATATATATATGTATGTTGTATGTATGTATGTATGTATAATATGTATGTGTGTGTGTGTGTGTGTGTGTGTGTGTACATATATGTAAACATAAATATATATACTTACATATATACATTTATATACATATATGTATATATATTCAGATATTCATACATGTGTGTATGTTTGTATATGTATATATATAATATATGTATAATATATATATGTATATATACATATATATATATATATATATATATATATTATATATATATATGAGACAATTTCTCCATAGCGCAAAATATTATTCTCATTCATACCTTTTTCTATAATTTGAATAATGAGCCCTGTTCCCAGACACGTAAATGTGCACAAACATAATGTGGGACCTTACTCAGTTGAAGAGTATCTGTTATTGAGGCAATGCAGAACAAGATATATTCAGAATATTTTTTATTCAAATTCTCGATATTTACAAAATAACGGGCTTCCACACAAGCAATAATAATAATAATAAAGCAAAGTAATCAGGTGCTATAATTTAGGTATGAAAAATATACTTTAAGAGAATGGTTTGGTTTGGGAACAAGGTAGTATCCTCATGCAAGGCATGAAAGTACAGAGAAGAAAGTAGGCATGAGACCACAAATCTAGCTTAGAAAGGAGCTGCATAGGAGTTGGAAGGGGCAGCTGGGGCACCGTAGCCGTTGCTTGGAGCAGGGGGAGCACCGTAGCCATTGCCGTTGCTGCCTCCGTTTCCGTTCTTTCCGTTTCCGTTGGAACCGTATCCATTGCTTCCGTTCCTACCGTTTCCATTCCTTCCGTTGCCGTTGGAGCCATAACCGTTACCGTTACCGTTGGTGGCGGGTCCATAGGCGTATCCGGCGTCGGGAACGACTCCGATGAGCTCGTTGACGGAGTAGAAGCTCTCAGCTTGAGAACAGTCCACGTTGAACCACCAGTCACATACCAGGTACTGCTGGTTGAAGATGGTACCGTTGGGGCACAGGAAGGAGTCCTGTTGGCGCCTGAGGGCGCGGTCCTGGCAGATATGGAACACCTGGCAGCCGGCTTCAGCTGCAGTGTCGGCGTAATAACCTTGCACCGCCTGGTCATCGCAGGAGAATCCGGTGTCGGGCACGGAAGCCAAGATGGGGTAGTCCTCGCCGGGACGCCGCCCCCTGGAATGTTCTCGGCCAAAGCGGCGATCTCAGGGTCTACTCCGTAGCCGCCGTTGGGCGTGCCATAGGTGTTCCTAGGAGCTGCATAACCGTTGGTGGGCGGAGGAGGTGCTCCGTAACCGTTACCATTTCCGTTACCGTTTCCATTTCCATTGAATCCGTTTGTGGGTGCCCCATATCCGTTGCTGGGAGGGGGAGGAGCTCCGTAACCGTTACCGTTGCCATTACCGTTTCCATTTCCGTTGAATCCGTTTGTGGGTGCCCCATATCCGTTGGTGGGAGGGGGAGGCGCTCCGTAACCGTTACCATTTCCGTTGAATCCGTTGCGGCTGTCGGCCACAACGACGCCAAGGATTGCTGTGGAGATATATAAAAGCATTAATATGAAGAGCAGTGATAATTGCTGGGAATCCACATATTCAAAATAATGATAATTTAATAAATAAATAATAGTGTGAAGGGAACGCTATGGTCTCTCCGGTTATTGTACAGATATAGGAGTACAAAAGGCATGGACATTAACGAACCGCAGAGAATGAGGGACTTCATGGTGAGGCCTTCGAAGCGGGAGAGGAGGGAGAGTGACGATGAACCGACTGGCGGCCGACCTTTATACTCGAAGGCGCGGTTCAGACTCCGCCCACTGACCTTCGTTCTGACTTAGTTTGCCAAGATGGAAAACAGGTCACTGCTACAGGAAGCGCAATGTACTTCCAACAGCAGGGTGATGTGAATGAAATGTCGAATCAGATATAGTTCACATAAAAACCTGATTTTTTTCCAACCATCTACGCTGAAAATTAAGCTGACGATTATTATGCGTATTATGTAAGGCAGCAAATTGTTTAAGAACAGCTATTGAACGTATAATTTCAGATTTTTTTCCACATGTTTTTCTTTAAAGTGGCTCTTATTATTGCAGCATTTTTTTTTTTCTTTTTTAGTTTGACATAATTTCCGTAATGTTATTGCAATTGTTCTCATTATTTCATCCTCATAGTGACTACCATCTTATTATTGACATATCGTTTTCATTCCTACAAGTCATATTTTTTGTGTTGTGTTGCTACTTTTCTCTCATGAATGTTATCTTTTATACTTTTATTGTTATCGTTATCCTTTCTCTTCTGCTTTTACTACTATTGTTAATGTTTCCATTTCATTTTTTTCTTTTCTTTTCTTTGTGAAAATCGATGCATATAAATCACTTTATACAGAAAGAGACATTTCGAAGACATTATTGCGAGATAGCAAGGCAGTCTTTTTTGCGATTTTGG